CAGCTTTCAACAGAGATTTATTGATTTATTAAAACTTGGGTCAAATATCAGATTGTAGTGTTTTACTGAAAAATCTCTCTGCTGCTTTCACTCAGATGCAGAATTAGAACTACTGTAAGATATTTCCGTCTCTTCTGTTAGTCTATATGATACATTGTCATTGTGGGTAGTTGAATGAACTACAGAATCATCATAGATATTTAACCTGTTTCTAACATTTAGACCATCAATTGCTGAAATGAAATGAGTATTCATACAATAACCTGTTTAGACTCAGTTATAAAATTTTAACTCCTTTCTGGATAACTTTTTCAAAATACAGTACTGAAAAGAAAAGTACATTTTTATTTCAGACATATACCATCTGGGTATGGTGCTGCATGCTTGCAGTCCCAGCTACTTGGGAGGCTGATGCAAATGGATTGCAACTTCAAGAGCATCCTGGGCACTTTAGCAGGACCCTTTTAAAAATAAAAATTAAAACGGCTCAGGATATAGCTTAGTGGTAGAGCACTTGCCTAGTTTGTGAAAGATGTTGGATTTAATGCCCAGTACTGTAAATAATATTTTATGTTAAACATATTTTGATATCAGATTTTACTCATTTGTTGATCATTATTATTATTTATTATCCTTTTTATCCTAATCATCAAAAAATTAAATTAAACATTGGCATTCTTGCTGAAAATAATGAAACAATGATTTTAGTTATATCAATTGACCATAAAAATTGTACTTAAAAGTACACATTATAGTCCTCTACATATATGATGCTATAGTTATATAAGTGCATTTCAATATCAATTATTTTCTTCCATTTAACTCATGAAAAATAAATCCACAGCTAATAGTTACTAAATCTGTTTTTTAAAAAAATTTTTTTTTAAAGCACACTGACTTTGTTATACTCGGTGAGTAGAAAGACCAGAGATTAACCAACCTGTATCAGTTCTCCTTATCTGGTCACTTTAATCTTCAAGCCAGATTTGCTGAAAAGTGAGAAAGGATGGAGTTAAATACAGCAACAGAAATAAGTATGCTTTTCATTTGGTGTGGTGGGAGGATTACCAATGAGTGTGATGATTTTGTATCTCTACTGATGAAAAATGACTGACTGGTAAGGAGTGAGCATTCTGGCAGAAAACAGGAAGCAGACACATAATTCACAAACCAGACAGTGAGAGAGAAGCCCCTGAATAAAAATAAGCATGGACGTATGTGTGGATGACAGAGCACAGGGGTGGAGGCTGCTCCCCCTGTAGGAAGGGCAATGGCATCCAGGCTCTGAGCACATTTCATCAGCAGGTACTACTACAGAGCTACAGAAAAAGTTATGATTTTTTTTCAGGAAAGAATAATTAGTAGAGACACTTTAAAATGAGAAAATATAGCTTCACTTTCTTCTCATACATATTTAATAAAATTTGTACCTAGCCTGGCATTCAATATACATAAGCTTTAGAGAACCCATTTAGTCTGTCTGCATTTGTATACCACTGGGCATACACAGAAACTGAGGTCCATAAAATCTATTTGGCCTTACAAGGTTCTGAAGTTCAGTAGTATCAAAGCTGAGACAAATGCCAACACTTTTTAGATATCAGGTTATGTTCACCTGTTTGCATTTTAAATATTAATATTCTCCTCAACTTCTTAATACAAATTAGATATGTATCAAGTACAGCATGTACTTAAAATACTTACTTTTAACTCTAAACATTTATTGCATGCCCATTATGTGCAGGCAGAATATTAGGAAATACAAAGTTGAAAGAGACACTATCTCTGCACTGAAGAAGAGCTTATAAATTAAGAGACTCTAATATAGAACTACAGCCAATCTGCTAATGGTGTGTTTCCAACACTATCTGATCGTAAGATTTACTTATGATGCTTTAAAAATTCAGACTCATATTCCTGTGTCTTGGAGATATGTGTGTGTGTGTGTGTGTGTGTGTGTGTGTGTGTGTGAGAGAGAGAGAGAGAGAGAGAGAGAGAGAGAGAGAGAGAGAGAAAGAGAGAGAGAGATGCACAGAGACACACACATTTAGATGTGGTATAAGGCTTTTAAAATTACTTAATAGACTTTTCAGGTGATTTTTATGATCAAGCAGTTTGGAGAGATATTATTGTATCTCTACTGATGAGATACAGATGGCTTGGTGGCAGATTGCTTGCCTCGTGGGTGTGAGGCACTGGGTTCGATCCTTAGCACCACATAAAAATGAATACATAAAATAAAGGTATTGTGTACATCTACAGCTAAAAAAAAATATTTAAAAAAACCAAACAAACAAATTCCTCTGCACATTGTAATCTCCTGGGGGAACTTCAAAAATTACAAGTGCCCTGTTTCACTCAACCCAACCCCCACTCCAGAGACTGTGACTTGTTCTGTGATATGGCAGTGGAGTCTCTGAGTGACTGTCACTTGATTCTAAGATACAAACCAGTTTGGGAACTACTTTACTCTGCTTGTGGGGATGCGGTGCACAAGCAAAGTGCCATGATGTAAATGTCACCCAAGAAACATTTACTCTAATACGTATTGAAAACCTACCATGTCACAAGCATTTTTGGAATGTTATCTATTTTAATCTTCAAAATAAACCTATTGGATTAACACAATTATGACCTGTATTTTATAGGCGAGAATATGATGTTTAGAAAATTATAACTCAGCCTCATAAGGTTTGAAAGAGGCTGAGCAGGTATTTGAAACTAGAGCTGCCTGTCTGGAACTTGAGCCTTTGTCACTTCGTCTGACTGACTTTCAGATACAGTCAGAAGGATAGAAACATTTATGATGGATAGAAATTGGGGTGAAAGGCATTCCAGAAGGAGACACCAGTGTTAGCAAAGGAAGACCTATGGCAAGAGAAGTGGGAAAGTTTAGCTTTAGATAACAGAGGCTTTGAATGCACTCACTGTTTTTGTAACCATCAGAAAATTGATTCATTCACTCACTTGATTGCTACTTTATTATGACAAGTATTCTATATATAAATGTTCAAAAATAGCCATCTTTAGTTTGCAAATCACAGGTTAAATATTTACCTAGACTTTAGAGGTTAAACTTGTTTCAATTTTTATTTTGCTTGCTTCTGTTAATGTATTACCTCAAATTATAAAAGACACATTGAAGCCCAGGCCATAATTGGACAGAGTGCTGAGAAGTGCAGAACAATAATTTTCTGTATGCCTTTAAAAGACCAGGGATAATGTTTGTCTTTCCCAGCAAGTGGGACTCCAGAGATTTCTAGCCAAGACAAATGGTACAAGCATTTATGTCCTCCCCACCTACAAAAATGCTTTACATCTACAAGAACATTGTATTCAGTCTCTTATTTCAATGCAATTTAGGTTCTTCTTATTATTAAAGAGAAAAAGCAGTTGGGTACTTGCTGTCTAAAAATGGCTAATCTCTCTCACAGGAAGGAAATGTAATCTTGGGACCTGCAGACAAAAGCCATCATTAGAAAATGGACATTCTGGGACTTTGAAGAAGGGATCCTAATATCTCTGAATCTTGAAACTTTGAGAGGAGTTTCTTGAACACTAAAACATATTTTCTCTGCTGACTGTGAACTTACTGTTATTTATATTAGTTATATGATTAGCGGCTCTGTATTTTATCAGTATCAATGAGAAATCACAAAAGTGTGTGAAACAACAAAGGGACTCTGTAAAATGTTTTTGCCCATTATTTATTGCATGAAAAGGAAAAAAAATGTTCATAGTATGATTTTAATGTTTGGTATTATATTCTTTAGAATTTAGGAATTGGGGAATTCAATCATTGTTTATTCATCACACATGTTTTAAACATCTATAATGTCGCAGGCAGTGCAAGTATGTGGTAAGGACTCAGAGCAAGCAAAATGAAACATTCTCTGACCTCACTGATCTCACAATTTGTGGGGGAAATAATTGAATAATAATAATACACAAATATAGCTGATAAGTGTTGGATGTCAGTTATTATGTTATGTAATAAATCCAACAGTGTGCCCATTAAGGAATTTTCAATTTAGAGGGGGAATATATTTCAATGAAACAGTTTCACACTGCTCTGTTAAAATGAGAGAGAGAGAGAGAGAGAGAGAGAGAGAGAGAGAGAGAGAGAGAGAGAGAGAGAGAGACTATATTTAGGATAATGTATATAAAGAGAGGTATGTATCTTCCAGATGTGGAAATGACACCAGCCCAGGTTTAGAGGCATGAAAGTCCATGTTCAGACTATAGTGAATAGTTTGAAATAGCAGATTGTAGGAGGTTTGAATTAGAATATAAGGCATAAAAATAAAAGATAGTTACAGGCCAGAATTTAAAAGACATGGAATATCATGCCAAGAAGTCTGGGATTTATTCTTGAGGTATTTGCAAACTACGCAACATTTCAAGTAGAGAATATTGAGATCAGATCTTCCTTTTAGAACTATAACCCGGGTAGGGATACAGGGGAAATATTGAAATTGATTGGAGAGGGGAGTAAGAAGACAAGACTGGAGGTACATGCACTAGTTAGGCAGCTGCGTACTGATACAGGTGGGAAATAAAGAAGGTGATCTCATTATGGAGAGGTGCTCATTTAAAAAAAAACATTTTCAAAAGTAATGTAGAAAAGAATCATAATTTGGAAGAGAGTGAGGATGAAAGGGAAGCAAATAAAATGACTCACAGTTTCCTACTATATAAATCAAGGATGAGTTTGTCATAACTTCAAAATTTGGCCCTGGAGCTCTGATAAGAAAACCATTGGTTAAATAACTATTAAAAAAGATACAGAGAAAAAAAGTTAATCTATGCACTGTGTAATATTTAAACTATCAAATCTCTATGTTCTAATATGGCATATAAAGCATCATTAAACATAAGGGTCTGTACAGGGTAAGCCAAATTACCTATCTACATAAGGCAAGGACTTATCATTTGCGCACTTTGTCTAGCATAGAGAAAGTATCTCTGCAGAGAAGCCATCATCGAAGAGATGTGACAAAACAATGGCCTTTTAAACTCTCTGTTAGTATCTCTACCAGATATTTGGTTCAATTCTTTAGTAGGGAAGAGTAATGGGAAACCATTAGAAGAACTATATTTTGTAATGCTAGATATAGATCATGTTGTAACCTGTATTAGTGAACTTAGTTAATACTAAATTTATTTATTGTTTATAAAAGACTGCAAGGAGTTTGCTCATTCTAAGGATATATATTAGATTTGTTTTTTTTTAAGATTGATTGAAAAAAATTCAACTTATTTCCTTAACCCAACAAGTACAGTGGAATGTAGTTATAATAAAAATCTCCTTAGAAAAGGCCATATTTCTATGTTATTGGGAATCTGGTTAAATTTAACTTAACAACCAATTAAACTGCATTTATTTACCTAAGGCTTTGCAAACGCATAGCAGGAAACTATTTTCCAAGTTCAAGTTTCACTGTGGATTTCAAGGGAGTTTCCACAAAGCAATTTCCCACAAAAATCTCTCAGCCAAGTTCTATAATGTCAAGTGTAACAGACTCAATAATTGAATCTTTATCCAGCATGGAGATGAGATGGCTTCTGATCTAGTATTACACCAGCTAGAACATGTCACAGGTCAGTAAGAGCAGTTAAATTAGATGGAATGCATGCTGTGTGTGTAGTGTGTGTGTGTGTGTGTGTGTGCGCACGCTTATACGTGCACTAGCTTTATGATGCTGAAATACAACCTATAGTGTTCACCAAGTTATCATAAATAGCTACAAGCTGGAGTTAATGGGGAGTGATATTTCTATCTCAAATGTGTTATGGTATACTTTGTTGTAATGTAATGCAACAGGATATTTTCAAGTTCCTTTGATAGCAATCACTGGTTTATTAAACTTTCACTATGTAAAATAGAGAGGTTTTTAAGAAATAAGAGAAGAGCAATCATGGCAGAGCTGATGAAAATAACTAAACTTAAAAGTGGTGCTATGAACAGTTTGTCTTGCCACTGTGAGTTGAAAATGTCCTATTTCTTTTCACCTCTTTAACTGTGAAAGTAATAATGCTTAAAAGGACTTCATTATGAATTTATTAAATTAATACATTTGTATTAAAATACTAGGAATTGAATAGATGCAATGTTGTCAGTTTTTCATAGAAGAACCTAAAAGTCTCTTAAGACTGTCAAATTCTTTAGGGACTTTTTAAATATAATGTTTTAATTCATTCTCAAAAGTCTTACAACCAAGTTTTTGGTAGTTGAGGCTGGATTATTGACTTGGAGGAAAAGAAATACAGGCACCCTGGGGGAGCTCACAAATCTCTGACCTTTGCCTTGCTTATTCCATGGCTACCAGATTCTCCTTAAGTGTTTGGGACAGAACTCTTTATACTTTTAATGAATTCTTCTCTTAGGTCTCTCCTTCAATCAGTTCCTTTCTTCTTTTTTTTTCTGTATATGTTTCTTAAACTGGTTTAAACTTTATTTCTGTTTCTCAGGATAACAATACAAATCTTCATTAAAAGGGAGGCAGTTTACCCTATTAGTGATTATCAATTAAAAAATTCTCTTTGAATCCCATATACAAAAAATATGGAGAGTCCCTCTGATGGAAGGAGCTGGGTGTTTTCCCAGGGGCTCTCTTCCAGTTTCTGCTATGTTCCTTGCCATCACCACCACATGAGCACCCTGCCACCCAGGGGTTCTTTCTGGAACCCTGGGACTTTCTAAACCATAGCTTGAAAATCATGCTGGTGTCTCCTGGAGTTCACAATAGTGGGGCGTGTCTTTTTGTATTCCTCCCTCTGTAGCCAAAGAAATCCATGGATTTCATTAGAAAGTGAATGAATTTGAGAAAATAACTTTCTCTCTAGAGATAATCCTTAACAAAAGTATAGCCCCCAGACCTGGGTTATCTCCCAAGTAGTACAATGTGTGCTTAGCTGTGCAGATCCCTGGGTTCAATCCCCCCAGCACAGAAAAAGAAGGCAGAACAGGGACAATGAATTCCGAAGTAGATAAGAACATGCCTTGACATGAACTGTAGTTAGAAACCCAGGAGCACAATTTCTCCAAATTCCCTAAGAGACCAGGGATTTCAAATTTCTGACTGTTCATATTCATTCAAATTTTCAAGCGTTATTTTTCATTTTCAGTAACGTCGAGTGTGATAAATGAAGGAAAGTGGATTTGCATTATAAATAGTTGAGAGATGAACCGTTGTTTGAAAGCATGTGAAGGGAATTATTATTATCTGAACATCATATGCTAACAATTATTAGGATCTTTATCTTATTTTTTGTGGAGCAAGTTAATGTAAGTAAACTGAATGTGTGAGTATAATGTACTGAGACTTAGAACATGCAGGGGAAACATAAGAAAGACTAAAATGATCCCATTAATGAGGCCTAGTTTTCATTCCAAAATTTCAAACATTAGCATTAAATTAAAATCCTGTGCCTGAACGAAGTATGCATGTGGGGTTGCATATAAAGGGGTTTTTAGAGTCTGGATGTGGTACAGGTAAGGGTATATTAGTGAGACATAATCAGTGTTTTAGAAAAACCTCCTCATCCTTCAGGTGATCCTGATTTGCTATGGGCACTAATTTTCAAGAGCAATGTGCCACAGTGTTTTACCTTTAATTGGTTATTCTCTCTTGATTTAAAAAAAAAAATACTAGTCAGGAATCAGGAGGTCTGAACTTCTTTTAACAATCAAAGCCAACCTCATGGGCCTTAGATTTTTTTTTCTTTTTTTTTTTTTTACTCTATGAAACAGAGTCTAAGCTGTAGTATCTTGTAGTTCTGTCAATTTGGGAAAGTATATGCTGCAAGTCAATTTCTGCTCAGAGATGACACGTTTTATGACCCCAGGTGGCTCTCCTCACGTGGAACACACAGTAGCCCAGAGCTGATGAGTCAATATTTTAATCAATCCTATCTTATTTTCATTCAAATTAATTAGCATCATGGCTAGATTTTACTAAGCATACCAAATTTAATTTACAGACACATAAATCACTGACAGATTCCTCTGGCATTTCTATATGAGAGATACTAACCTTCTCAATGGCTTTCTTGAATATCATTTCCATTTTGAAAAATGAATTAGCCAAGAACCAGAACGAAACCTAAAAACAAACTGTTAAGTAGTGAGGAAGAGAATATTAATCCGTGCTTTTCCTAGACTAGGAAATATTTTCTTGCTTTTTTTTTTTTTTGCCTGTGAATCCTTTTTCATCTGAAGGCAAAAGTGAATAAACAAAGAGCTAAAGGGAAATTACAGGATACCAGACCATCTTACAACGGAGGTCTTCTCTTCAGTTTCTATCTTGCTTTAAATGGCATCCTTCCTTGATTAATTTATAGCAGATGCCAATTGCTTGTAATCCTATTTTTTGTTTGCTTTTAATTGACACATAATAATTGTGCTGATTGCTGGGGTTCACTGTGATATTTTGATAAATGTATACATGTGAAATAATCAAATCAGGATATTTAGCATATCTATCACCTCACACATTTATCATCTCTTTATGGTGAGAATAGTCCTTTCTTCTAGCTATCCTGAAATATTCAAAACAATATTGTTTTAATTCTCCCCAGAGATTTGTCACAATCCTGAGTTTTTAGATTAATCATTTTTTATATCTATATCTCCAGTAAAATAAGCTTCATGACTAAGCCTATGTTACTCTCTTCAATATCCTCAATATTTAGAATAGTTAACAAAGATGCAGTCATTTGTTAATGAATAAATGCTAACAGTCCTCTGCCTGCCTCAAGAGAGAAGTAGCGGAATGCAGTGATCAAGAGGAAGTTCACCAGAGACTTACCACTCTGTTTTGAATTCAAGTTGGATTAGGTACAATTTGTAGGACCTAATATAAAATTAAAATCTAAGGCATTTTGTTTAAAATTTATTAAGCGTTTTGTGATAGCAACCATTGAGTATTAAATCAAGTGAGGGCCCTTCCAAATGTGGGGTCTTTCAACATAACTGCACAGGTTGTTTGTTCAAGAGTACCTGTTAAGTAGCAGAGGCTTAATAAATTGTGTTGAATAAGAAAAAAGAAAAAAATTCTTATCACCTTGAGACCATCTGCATGTAAAGGACATGGCATACTGAAGCATAAGTGATTTAGGTGATTTAGCTTCTTTCAATTGTCAAAAGATATGAATGCAGATTGCATTACATGTCTTTAATTCAGAGTATCATAAAAACAGAAAAGGAATTAATTGAGAATAATTAAAGTCACAATTCTTTAACAAAGTTTTATTTATTTAAGACAATTAATTTTACTATGCAGACACACATAGTAACAAATTTTATAATGATATTAGATAACACGCAATAAGGTGATGTTAATTTCTAATTCCTTCCTTATAAAGAACTAGTGGATCTATTTTTGTCAGATGAGATTAAAGAAAATATTTGTTTGGTCTCATTTTGCCTTTTAAAAATTATTTTATCTTTTCCACATTCAGACCCATTTTTAGAGTAGCTATGTTCTCGAATAAAAGGTCTTTCTTATTTTAAATTACCAAGTACAGCAAAATTCCATGATGACAGCACATACATTTATGAAATCTAAAATTTTCTCATGTTTGTTTTAGACTTAAAAATGTACAGATTCAGTACATTCAACCCATCAACAATTTTGTTGAGCTTCTACTATGTGGCCGGTGATACTGTAGTTGCATAAGGTACAGCAGAACAATGAGCCAAAACCTTTGTTCCTAGCAGTTTCCATTCTAGTGGGAAGAGTGCCCAAATACCAATGCAGAACTGCTATATAATATGTCAGGGATAAGAAATGCCATGGAGAAATTTTTGCAAGGAACAGGAAGAGAAGGGCAAGGCAGGCTACTGTAGGTAAAGGTGGAGATAGAAGTCCTCTCTGATAAGGTGGCAAAGGAGCAAAGGTTAGAGGAGAGAACAATCCATGTGAGAGATGCTCCTGAAGGGTAGTCCAAGGCCTGGCGAGGGGGAAATGTGCTTAGATTGTTAAAGGGCCATGGAGGAAATCAGAGGAGGGATTTTACCCTGAGTCATTCAGGAAACAATGGAATGCTTTCAGCAGGGTAGGATACGATGAACTAATCTTTTAAAAGAAACAAGTCTCACCACTGAGTGGAGAACTGACACTAAGGAGCAAAGGTAGAAGGAAGAAGGTGAGCAAGATAACTACTATCATGGTCCAGGCCAGATGCAGTGGGAACTGTAGCCAGGATTGCGGTGTGATGTAAAATTAATGACTCAATTCTGCACATACTGCATCTTGATATTAGAATCATCAAAATTGGTCCATGAGGGTAACTTGCTATTGGATCCCTCTTTCACTTGCAAGAGTTCTGTTTCTATTCTTCACATTTGAATAAATCCTACTCCTTTCCAAAAGCAAACAAATAAATAAAGGCTGATTGGTTGGATGTAAGGAGGAACTGTGTGAAATGTAAAGAGGAACTAGGGATCTTTCCAAGGATTGTCATCTAAGCATCTGGATGAATGAAATTTGTCATTAATAATAAATAATTCTAGGTAAATCCATGAAAGGAGTGGTTTTTATATTTTTAAATATTTGGTGTGTGTGCATGGTTCCTTAGAAAACGAAGTGCTCACTTTA